ATCCATAGTGGTCCTGGAGATAGGTGGCAGTGACGAATGCAACAAACACCCGCTGGGACCCTGGGGGCAATCCTGGGGAGCTACAGTGAAACCAGGTATCATTTGCAGACCCTCTGGGCAGTTCAAGGAAAATATTTTAGATAGTCACTCTATTAGGGGTCCTGCAAACATTTTTGTGTTAAACACACGTTGTGTATCTGTACATACTCTCTGTATCTGCTCCTATCCGGCTCAAAGACGTGGACAATGTGGATCCCACTGTGCCAGTCATCATGCTATGTAACTATTTTAGTTTGTGCTGCCACAAATAAAGAATTAAATATTAAAGTGGTACCTCTGGTATGAAATCTAGCTTTTGTTGTCAAGATTATTTCCTTGCCCAGTGACATGAAAGTGATCAGTATGCCATTATGTGGATAAAACAATTAAAAAGTTTTTCAGAACTAACTCTGTCATCTTGGACAGCAAAATTACTGCTGCAAGGAGCCACCAGCACATTTGTTTTCATTATAATCAAATGCACCATCCTCATCAAAATGATAATTTGACAGGGATTTTTTTGTTCAACTCATGACAATTTATCCATGTCAGTATTTATTATCTTACTGTCACAAAAGCTCCTGTGCAGACTGTGACTTCATTATCCATACATGAGTTTAAAGCAGTAGTTTGCCTGATAAGAAGTGCCAACCAGTTTATCATTCTGTATTTGCCAAAATTATTTTGTAACAGGTCACTGGGTTTTTCTCTTAGAAAGCAATCTGTATTGAACGTTTTCTTAAAGTATTAGATAGCCAATGCCTCTACTGGATTAGTACAGTTCATTGGAGTACAGTGCTATTGTTTCAATTAAACACATCTTGGAATAAGAATTATGGCAAGTTGTAATGAAAACAACTATTAATTCTCAACCATATTTTCTATTTAACACCTCTGTAAATTCTCAGAAGCAATTGCTTTTGTATAGGAATATAAGCTGGGAAAAAGTGGATTTATTATTAGCAAAACATCAAAAATAATAAGTGCTGAGTCTTGGCAAAAATCTGAACATTTTACATACTACTCTGAAAAAGTAACAAAGGCACAACAAAATTTACCAACAAGGGTATTGCCATGTAACAATATACAGAAGACCACTTTAGTGATGAGTATTTAATTTATGAGAGAATTGGATTTCTGGTTGCAGTTTGCTCCTTCAAATGTTAAGATATTCTGTCTGTAAAAAGCCTTCTTATATTCTCTGTAGAACATTTTCCTAACTGCCACCAACCCTCAATATGCTCACCTTTGTATGATGCTGGTATGTACTTTCTAAACTTGCTTCCATCTCTTCTGTCTGAATTTTTTTCTGAGGTACACCATCTGAGCTGACCTCGAAAGTCAGCAACACTCTTCATGATGCACTGGTCTTTCTTGACTGGGATCTAACATTTTCTTTTATTTCTAATATCTGCCTGCGTTTGCAGGGACTCTATGGCTAAATTCCTGTGATTATGCGCTCCAGTTTCCAGATTTCTGTCAGGCATTTTGTTTCTTGTGCTCCTCTGTCTGCATCTGAAGTCTCTAATCGTACACCTACACTGCAACTTCTTTGGGACTCTGGTTAGTGTTTCCCTCAGCCCCAGATATTACCTCTTTTGACTTCAAAAATAAATCCCTCTAATGTACACATGCCAACACAAAGTACTTCAGTTCCCTAACACCTGCATCTTTCAGTACAAACATTCTCATCCTTTCTCTGACAGCTGTCTCTAGATCACTAGCTGAATATCATTGTGGCTGAAACAGAGCTGTTACTATCCTCACCCTTCTCTCTCTCCAAGTTAACCTTGCACAAGGTCTCCTGTCATAATACAGCCATCCTGCTGATTCCTCAAACAAATAATTCAGATATCTTCAACTTAGACTTCTCTATAGGTCCTCTAATAGCTATATACAATAATTACAGAGCCTTGATGTTTAGTGAAGGAGGTAAAGATTTTCCCAACCATCCATATAGATAAAAGTCTTCTCCAAGCTCTTACCATCTTGGTTTCTTCTAATTTTGCCAAACGTCATCCTGTTGGATGGTCAAATAATAACACATATATCTTAGCTACACTGCTCTTCATGCTCAGGAGGAGATTTTCAGAAATAATTGTGCAGGATCGTGTTATCTTCAAATCCTTCCTTCAAACTTTCTTTGTGGGTTGTTTTTTTTGTTTGTTTGGGGTTTTTTGTTTTTGGTTTTTTTTGTTTGTTTGTTTGTTTGTTTTTTGTTGTTTTTTTGTTTTTTTGTTGGTTTGGTTGGTTGGTTGGTTTGGTTTGTGTATTTTACCACTGTGTCAGTTAAATGCTGAGAAAACTGCTGTGTTATGCTCCCAGATCTGCACTTCCATCGGGTCTTCTGCTTCCTGGTTACACCTACACTGCAAGGTCTTTGGAGCAGGACCAGCTTCTTGTGTTTGTACAGTGCCACCCACAGCAAAACATGATTAGGACTTCTGGAGGACACAGACCAGTCCTGCAAACCACAGCAAAGCATCACTGTGGTAAGAGCAGCTGTCTCTGTCAGCACAACTTTCCTTGCTGCAGAAGGGAGAGAAACCCCAGCAGACCCTTCTTCCCACACTTGTCTGCTGCAGCTCCTCTTAACAAAACAGTGTCTGCTTGACTTGGAGGCAGTTTCTCCAAGGGACACATGAGTGTCTCACCCTTTGAAGCCTGTCTAGCAACCAACCAGCTCTTTCTTCCTCACCTGAGAAAGAACAAGGTAAAGCTTTAAGAGGCAGGGCAAACAAAAACTGTCAAAACGAGCAGGGTTAGATTCAGAACCTGTTATATTTAAAGGAAATGCTAAATTTACTGTAATGGGCTTTGACAAAAGTCCCCTGTTACAAAGAAAAACAGGCTGAAATGGGCTGAATCATCTCAGTAAGAGGCAGAGCTCTCTTCCAGTCCCACCACTACCTTATCCAGCCATTCCCAGCCACCTGCTGGCAGTTCACACTCCCTCTCCAGGCTGACTTCCTGTAAAACTAACATATTCCAGCTGTTCTGCAGTTCCAGGCCTTAACCCTTGCTTCCCTTTACTAAATACTCACTGTCTTCCTCTGCATCTTTGTTTTTCCGAAGGAATTTTGTGTCATGGTCTTCATGTAACTCTGTGATAAGGCCTAAAAGAAAAGGTGAACTGTTTAGATTGCAGAGTAAAAAAAAAATAAAAAAGCCCCAAATTGGGATCTTCTTCCTTTGAATTCAAGCATGGGAATTCTGGAGGGGTGAATAAGATAAAAATAATGATCTCTTCTGGATCTGAACATTTTGCAATCACTTGGTATTTTAATTCTAATGAGAACATAAAAATAAATGATAAACAGGCCTTAAGAATTTCCCTTTCAAATTTATATCTCAGGAACAAAATTATTCCTTGCCACCCAAGTTTTATATATATACTCTTTCCATACTTTTCATATATATGTGGATATAAACGCCCTTATTCTAGTTCTGTAGGGAAACTGCTGCTTTGATAAATGTACAAAAAGCAGATACAGCCTTAGTACTGTTGCTATGTGTTACTGGCCATCATGAGAAAAAAGTCATGGAAAAAACCCTACAGTTTCTTTCTAAAAACAAAAGAAAGCCTTATTTTGTTTTCACTAATCTAAACAAAAAAATATTATGAGGATTTCATATGTGTCTTCTTGTCATACTCATAACCAGACACAGTATCAAGCACCATATCTCCCTCTTATTAGGATAAGGGTAAATAAGTTCTTGCTGTCATTAATTCTTCAAGAAGGTTGCTTTACTTTGTGGCTTTTCAAAATATATTTTCACATCCTCAGGTATTGTGTGTGGCCAGCCATTGTAACTGTTTCAGTTCAAGTGGAATCTGTCAGTAAGTCAAATGCAGGGCCATAATTTAGGGAGATGATGGGGGTAAAATACTCACATTTCTGAAAGAAACCTTTCAGCAGCAGGAGGTCTACAATGACTGCATAGATATGAGGATAACATGGTAGCAGGCATTTAAACCCATCTTGCACTCCAGCTGATCACATATGAAGAGTCAATTCATAGTCTGCATGCTCAATTCATTGTCTGTTTTGTGACGGGACACATTACGAAGTCATTAGCTGATATACCTCATTGCAGGACCAAGGTACTCTCAAATGCTTACACATGGAAAGAAGCACTTGGGGCTGCAGTGAACGTATCCATGAGGGATTGCATTGATGTGCACCTTACTGGAGGGAGGTATTTACACAAGGCAAGCCAGCTGTCAAAAGGAGAAAGCTGATTCAGTGCTCTCTATAAGGACTTCAGACATTTTGAGAAACAGCCTCATTTACGAGGAACAACAAGGTTTTGGTGATCAGCAGACATCCTAACAGGAGGCTAAAGTGCACTTGGGCCTACATCTGAACTTTCATGTAGTTGAGTCCTTATCAACCAATAAAGTAAAAATTATTGGAATAACAGTTTTTACTACAGAGAAATAAAGCAACAAAATTCATTTAAATTCTAACTTTTAAAAATTGTATACAGTGATAGATATCTACATTCTCAATCTTTAGAAGTATTTTTAATTATATATTACTTGTAAGGGAATCAGAAACTCTAGAGCATGAAAAGCAATTACAGCATTGTATATCCATAGGAAGTACTTCAACAGGTAGATATAGAGAAAGAAGAATAAAATGTACTACCCTAAAGCATGCAGAAATTGGTTCAGAAATGTTTCAAAATTCTGCAATTGAATTTTGAAGGCAAATATGGGAAATCCTATGCAAACAACAAAAAAATCCTGTGGATGAGGACTAATCTTCTCTACTGAGCCTATATCCATTAGATTTTCTCTGCCCTTAAGAAAACTAAACAATGAGATATGGAATATAATTTGGATGTTTATTTCTAGGTCAAATATATATTACTCCTTTGTTCCCTTTGCCTTTTGTAATTTGCGGGGTTTAGATCTTACCTCTTAAGTTTTCTAAATTCTAATTTCTAATTTCTAAGTTCATCTGTAATTTTTCACTATGATAGGAGCACCCTGTGAAAGAAGAGAGGCAGTGGTGTCTATCAACACAGAACACAACTGACTTTCAAGACAGCTAAGATGGCAGTCGCAAGAGGTTTGGTTTATGCTTCATTTGAAGATGCTAAAATTATATGTCTGAAGAGTGGAAATTTGAGAAGAATTGATTTTAACTCTGAGTTACAAATCACTCCAATTTATTTTTATATTTGACGCTTTAGGGAGACTTATAGGGAAAATGAAAACACAAGTTTCCTACTTAAGCTTCTTTTTCTATAAAGTGGTATGCCAGTAAAATAGCCTTCAATTGCCACACCTCTAAATGACTGCCAGAGATCCAAGGCATGGAGACACAGGGCAAGAGACATAACTATCTATTTTTTTTGAGTAACTGGTGACCTTACTCTAACCTGTGTCTTTGTCAGTGATTATATCCTTCTACTATAATGTACAACAATGACATTTAACAGATTTGCTACAGCCAGCTCTTGCTAAGCAATGCATCAACCTACCAAAAGCAAAAGCCAATCAGTCTTTACAAGTTGCTAAGAAAGGTGTTTAGAAGTATTTAAAAGACACAATCTCTAAGCTGGCTAGCAATTTTCTGAAGATACTTTCTAATTTCTTTCATACTCAGATAGCTTCAAATGGTGATTTGGGCAGCTGGAACCTGGGGGCATATTTGCTTCATTACATAAAATATTTTGTCAGCTGGAGCTGATTTTTCGTTAGCATACAGATGGACACATAAAACCTTCAAAGACCTTACAAATATATTTTGTTTTAAATGTAAATACCACTCTGGTATCATTAATAGCCAAGCTAGCTTGTTTCTCTTAGCATTCTACACCTTATATGACAATAATCTCAGGGCTTTATTTTGCCTGATATAAATTTTCATTAAGCTTGCAGTGGGCTCTTTCTGTCTTTCCTGACTGATTCAGGTTTAATTGGCCTCTAAGGATAGTAAGCTGTTTGAGGACTCTTTCAGAATCTGTGTTCCTCTGCTTCTTTGCCAAATATTTTTTATTTCATCTAGCAATTTGTTTCTATCAGCTTCTTTTCTCCATTTTTGCTGCCAAAGCTGCTACATTTTTTCTCTTGTAAGGTAAACATTCCCCTCCATCAGTGGCCTTGGAAGAAGCACCATTTTTTTGGAAGCTCCACCTTTTATTTCAAAGTCCATTATGTTATGTCCCAAAAAGGTTTAGTCGGAAGATTTTTTTTCTACTTGCCTCTACTCCAGTCTAAGTGAATCTCTGTAATAGATGTGTGGGCTGACCATGCCATTTAACTTTTTTCCAGCAAGGCCAAATTGAGTATGAGGAAGTCGGAAGATAATTGAATCTAAGAGACAGGATGAAAAAAATAGAAAACCAAAAACCCTATTATATAAGAAATTCAAAATGATAGACAAAATTACTTTATTTTTCTTTCTAAATAACAACATTCTTTTGGAAAGGAAACATTTTTCCTTCTTTCTATCAGCCTCCATTTCAGCAATATTTTATTTCCATAAAGAGTACTGAAGCTATTATTTGCTTGCTATACCTTTAATTGTGCTTTTATAGTTTCAGAAACAGTCCCATTCTGCAACAGTAATTAGCAGATCTCTAAGCCGGTAGCTCACAGTTTTTGGGCTGCCTTTGTAGCCAGTACTCCTCTTCTCCTCAATGCAGCTTTATTTATTTAACAGATTTCAAGCCATAACTTTTGTAGCAGTCAAAGCCATCTCTTTTTTCAAAGGTGGGCACAACTTTCAAATTGATGGCCATTTTATACAGCTGAATACTTAGAGAGCCAAGCTTGGCCTGAGATGGAGTCTGATTTTTCAGAATGACACTTGGTTTTTCAGTAGAGCAAACCCCAAATTCTGAACCATGATATTGTCAAATATGGTCACATGCTCATGTCACATTCTGATGTTCAAAAGTCTTTTAAAATGGAAGGACAACTGCTCCAGAATTTGGAGTTCTGGATGGTAACAGCAGAAATTCTATCAAAAGGAATCTAGCAAAAGTCAGTAATGCACTGTACAAAGTTTTTTATGTGTAAGAACTAATAATTGCTCAGAAAGGCTAAAACAACTCTTTATACTTTCTACAACAGGGAGAGACAAAAGACAGGACTCTTGAGAGATAAAAGTTAGGGAAAATAAATAATAGGGAAGAGATAGAGAAATAAAATATTAAGACAGAGAGATGACTGTCAGAAACAGTGTGCTTCTGATCCAAATGTGACAGATGCTTCCATTAAAGCAGCTGCCTCAAATTAATAAACACCCTGAATGAAATTCTGCATCCTGTAAACATCCAGGGGGATAAAATTCCACCACAATCCTGAGATTAAAGGAAGTAACTGTATAGATGTTTAAGATTGCCATTAGCATGCCTTCTGTAGTCCTTCTTGAAATGAAAAGAATGAGAGAGAATAGAACTAAAAAGTTTAACAGTTTCATGCAAGTATTTATGCTTACCTGGCTGAAGAGAATCAGGAAAGTTTGTACTCCTAGCTCAGGTTTGTAGCTTGTCTTGGACCTTTCCATTTTTCTTCCTTAGCACATACAAAACTTCCATGCTTCAATAAATAGGGATCTGAGTTAACAAGCAATGATAAACAACAAAGCCCCACATTACCTCACAATCCTCAAATACATTTTGAAGTCTTGGGATTGTAAATTCATATTTCATTTGCCTGCTATGCACAAGTAATCTGCACACACTAAATGGACATTTCAAAAAGTGTGCTGTCAAACAGAAACTAAATGAGAAAAGAATAGAAAAGTTTTGGCCTCTGTGTCATTTTCCAGTTATGCTACTTCAAGTGTTCCTCAGATTAAGCACAGGTTAAAACATACTCAAAGAGAAATGTCAGTTTAAATTGCAGGGATCACTAATACATACTGAACACTGCACTTGAAAAACAAATCACATTTTGCATGCACACACCAGTCTTTAAACATTCAGATTGCAAACTGTTTATATTTGACATGCCAAGTCGGGGGGAGGGTTGGTGGTAATTTTTTAATAACTTAGGTTACTATTAATTTTTTAAAAATTGTTGTAATCCTTCACAACTGCTTACATGCTCTGGTTTTGAAATCTACAATCTTCTTACAATGTTTGGTGCTCAATTTCAAAACTAGTCTGTTTCTAAAGTATGAGAAAAGTCATGAACATTGAGTGAAAATTTAGAGCTCTCACTCAAAATAATAAGACTGTTTCACCTGACTTACTTTTTGTGGTGTAATGCTGAACCAAGCTTTAATGTGGCAAACCCTTTATGACTTTTGCTATAAAATATTCCAAAATGAAACGATATAACTTGTGTTTAAGCAATAAATTATCCACAAATTTCTAAACTTAATTAGATATTTTCATAGAAGTGAGACTTTTCTCTACTTGTATAGGCTTTATTGCAGGAGATTATACAGATGGAATAATGCAGTCTTGAATAAATTTTGAAACCGATGCAATGACTGGACAAGAGAAATTAACAAACAGCTTTTTTTACCTTAACATTCCCAGATGTAAAGATCCCTTGAAGTGACAACAGGCCAGTTAATTCTGCCCCCTTTTTACACATTCAGCATTCCAGAACAGGGTGCTCAGTTTGTTTTTTCACCCACAGTCTCACCCATAAGCAGGACAGAACAAAGTTTTGACCATTTCTACCGCAAAGCTCTCTGCCTTCCACAAACAGACAGGAAACATCTGTTGCTCTTGCATGAGGAGGCAAGAGGAACAAAGAGGCTTCTAAGAAATTTGTAGAGCTGCAGAAGAGACAAGCGTTAAAGGAGGCTGAAAACGAAGGCAGTGAAGGGATTAACACTGGAAGGTGACAGCTCACCTCCCTTACTCTGCTCCTGAAGTTTGAGCTGACCATGATTTTCCCACTCACTAGTGTTCAGTATTGTATGTGTTCTGAACAGGAAAACTGTAAAATTTGCCACATCCTTCAATCCTCGTGCATTTGAAATATTTTTATACCTACTTCTACCTCTGAAGATTGTTAAGACTTTCAGGGAAGCTGGGAAACACCCCTCACTCCAAATTTCTGACAAGCAAATACAAAATTGTCCCATAAAGAGCTAATTAGCGCAACTGAAAATTGAACTATTTTAATTCTTCAGATAAATACTGACTGGGGAGGTATTTTTTTTTTTTTAAGAAATGCATGGAAAGACCCAAAATTACATTAAGAATTCATATAGTTTTAAAAGGTGTGTTTTTTACAGGAAAAAAAAAAACTTGAATAGCTCCTTTGGAAGCTATTAAATAATTATGTGTTTAGGACACATTACATGTAGTAAAAACAGCAGTAAAAACAATAAAAATGTACATGGAAAAATTATTATTAGATCCCATTACCTCAGATGGCAGCGTTGGCACAAATATCCCCACACAGAGCTCTGGATGTACATCAGGAACACGAGGCTGTGACACCTATGGCTGCCTATGGCACTGCCTCACGTCTCACTGGCATGGCCGGCCAAGCACCACTAAAAACAAAGGCCGCCGATGCCACACGGTCACACCTCTGCCCATGCCTGCTCCTGATTGTCCCTTTCCTTCTCAGCAGGACCTGGGCAGCCCTTGGGATGCTCCCCAAAAGCCATAATGTTACTCAAGCTGTGCTCCATGTGCTGTTTGTGTGCACAGGCCTGTGGCAGCCGCAGAACTGAGGGGCCGAGAGGTCTGTGGGGCCGTGGGGTCTGTGGGGCTGTGAGGCCATGGGCTCTGATGGGCCGTGGGGTCTGTGGGGCTGTGAGGCCATGGGCTCTGATGGGCTGTGGTGCCATGGGTGGGGTCTGTGGGGCCAAGGCATCCGAGGGGCCTGTTGGCCCTGCGCCCACCACCAGCGTCCTGTGGGGCCTGGAGCGTGCCAGGGCGGCTGCCAGGGCCCTCACCACAGCAGGGAAACAAGGCCTGGGTAACCGGGAAATGACCTTTTCCTCAGACAATAAATAAAACCAACATGCAAAAGAGCCACAGAAGTGAAGACGCAAGCAAGCCTGATGCTGCCCCAGGCCCAATCCATTCTCCTGTACTTAGTTCCTAAGATAGACACAATATCCTTGTACCCCAAATGAAAGGATTGAGCCAAAACGTGGCTGAAGCAGCACAAGTTCAAGCTTCAATGCATATCTGGTTTTCTCCATCATAAATCACCTAGAGTAGTGCACATTTCCAGGTACAAGTTTCCTTAGTCTGCAAGAAATAAGGCATATTATGGTAAATCTCAGTCTAGCATGTGGGCTTCTGCTGGGATTATGGTATCCATGACCTAGCAGGAAAACTACAAGACAGACAAGTGCACAGGTCAGTAAAGAACCAAAAGCCAGTAAGGACTGCTATGAAAGCATCATGAATGTCAAAAAGCTTTATGCAGTTCTCAATTTTTTGAGTGCCCTTTCCTTGCTTTATTGCATCTTACCTGACTCATCAACAGCCCCCCCAAATGGCTGCAGTCACACTTGTGTGCAACTCATACTCCAGAAGGTTTCACTGAAATACCAGGGATTAGGATCCATAAACCATATTAACTTTTATGATTGTTTGTCTCCACTGTGTTCTGCAACCCTACTCCAAGTAACTTATCCAATCCATCTGTTCCTACCTCTTTCCCACCATCCTCACTTTGTCCCCATGTTCACAAATCTTCCTATCAGCCCACAAGAGCACTCTTTTCTAACCTGCTTGTTCAGTGTCTGGTAGAAGCTGCTTTTTACCCAGTCACATACCTCAGGTCGTCTTATGCTGCAGCCCCCTGCTGCTCTTGAAAAGTGTGACAGCCCTGTGTCTATCTGTTTCAAGCACACTTGCATATTACATGTTTCTTTATGCAAGGCTATAGCTGAGGTCCCAACAGGGAGTCAGTGTTTACATCCTAATGGATACAGCTGTGCCAGATTAGCTTGTGCTCAACACCTCAGAAATAGGCAAAGAGTACAACAGAAATAGCAGAAGCTCAGAAAAGTGGAAGATCCCAGTGCAGGTTGCAGCCAAGCTAACAATGTAAGACCTGGCTACCACTCTTTCAGAGCCATCATTTTCACCACCAAACCCTCCAGCAGTTACATTTGTAGGACTAGAATCAGAGTCCAGTACCTTCTAGAGTGAAGAATGGCTGACAGAATTAAACTCTCCAAAACCACAATGAATGGCAGAAGCAGTAAGATCTTTTTGTATTCTACTACTTTCTTGAGGTACTGATAATGATTCATGCAATGGCCTAGACAGAGGACAGAAATCAAAAATCATTTTAAGCAGTAAATGTAGAGCAGTCCCACCTAATATCATAATGATGCATCCACCACAGGGTAATCACATGAACAGAATCCCATTGATTTTCCCTGCAAATCTGATGTTTTCCTTCTGTTACATTCTCTGATTTGTCTGTCAAATCAAAACAAGTCCTGATGGAAGAAAAACATCCAGTTAGGAAGCAACTGTGATGAAGTAGCCATTTGTGGTGTTTGTGCATAAATGATAAATAAAATTCTGTGAATACTTTACATAGAAGAGTAGGTTCCATAGAAACATAGAAGTTAAGAATGTGTGTAGGTGGGTTACCCAGTATATGTGAGTCAGGGACTCCTCTAGGTAACGTGAAATTTCAGTGATATTTAGTCCATGTCTGGTACCCAACTCAACCATCTCTCTGATGGTTCTTTTCTTGTCAGGGGCCCACAAGAATCTTACCTGAAAGACCTTTACAAAGAAAGGTGTGTTGGATTATGTGATACCACTTATGAACTCATTTTTGCTGTTTGAAAATTATTTGCTATGGAAATCTGTCATCCTATAATCCTTGTAAAGGTATTGCTCTTCAACAAATTTTGTGGAAAATGCAGCTATGTTGCAAGGTATATACAGAAGTAAATTTTGTTACATCTGTAGGCAGGCCAGGAGCATGGTCAAGATTTGAACTTTTGGAGGCTGTAAGAAAAGTGGTGCTCAAGCCACAAATAGTTCTAAATCTTGCCGTTGGAACCCTTTCCTGGTGGTGTCCATCTCATGTTGAGCTCAAAATCTGTCTAACTGAGTCTTCTGACAGAAGAGAAGGCATAGCTAGGGAGGGAAGGTTATTTGCTTGCAGGTAACTTCCATAGCATTTTCTGCCAACTCCACAATAATAAGGCTTGAGAAGGGTACCAACTGGTCCAAATAAAGGCTTGTAAAGTGTCAAGATGCCAAATGAGCTCTGGAATTACAGACACACTGTTTTGAGTCAGAAATGGCTTTCTTTTTCCTTAGTCCCAAGATGAAAGAAGGAATTATATGTAAAATGGCTTGTAAAAAATGCTTCCTTTTGATACAATCTTTTAGAATCTAGAGCACAGAACAACCTGATGCCAACCACTAGTACTCCTGTTGTGAAAAATGGCTCTATTCCTGTCTAGTTAAGTCAGCCATGTCATCTTCTGCCCTTTTTTACAGTACATGCTCTACACACCTGATGTTAATGGTAGTGGTAAAAATCTGGAGGAAAAACAGCCGGCTGCTCATTAGTTCTTCACTTAAACAAGCCAAGAACCACTTTTGACAGGTGACTATTAACTCCATTCCTTCATTTCCCAACACCCAGAACAACTTTGAGAGAACATATCAGAGCTTTCCTGAAGCCATTGGCAAAGCTTATCTTCTTGATTCCAGCTGTTCAAAATGCCTAAAACTAAGGCCTGATATTTCTTTTTCAGACAAGCCCAAAAAAGTGCTCTGCAGAGTCCCTTGCCAGAAGAAAATCTTCATAATCAGACCAGAAATCTGGCTCCTTACAAGCCTTTCAGTGATGATGATACAGTCCTTAGTCATACTGCTCCTTGACCTGGTAATTAACAATTATTAAAAGCTCTTGTTTTCTGCAAGAATTAGTGTTAGTTTGCAACTTGCAAGGATCAAACCATTAGTTCATTCAGGAATGAACACAATACTGAGATTATAGCAAGTGTATGTACAGGCCTTGTACTTACTGAAAGTTGAATCACTGAAATTGGTAATACAGGATGCTCTCAAACTCATGCTCTCTTGCAGACCCAGTTTTAAGATCTTCTTATTTAGTGATTGCAGAAGACTGTAAGAGATAAAACCAACCAAGGATCTAAAGGCTACCTTACCAAGAAACCATACAAAGCGAGAAGCCCGACATGAAAATAAGTATGTAAAATGTCAGACTGTACCAGTAAGAAGCACATCAAGCAACCATTGTCAGGAACCCATGAAGAACTGGAAAGCATTCTACAAAATGCATACTTTTGTCTTGGTATCACATGAATGCCTGGAGAACCAGAAAAGAGGCCATGAGGTAGCAACAATCCTAGATACACCAAAGATCTTGAGCTCGTGAATCTTTGCCCTAGAGGAGAGCAGGGAGCTATGAGCCATTGGGCCCTTTGGCTGCAGGCTTTCCATGAGACTTCCAGAGTTAGTTCTTCCAAAACATCTACCTTCTGAAGCTTAACAACAACATATCTATGTGCTACCTAAACACTAATGAAAGTAGCTACTTGATGTAGTGAGCATAAAAGCTCTGAGAAATAAACCGATCTCATCTTCAGCAATGAGACATCAAAACCCTTGACACCAAAACAGCTTCATCCACACATGAGTAAAAGTGTCATTCCATAAAACTTGTGAAAAGCAGCTTGAATAAGGAAATAGCCCTCTTCCCTCCCACATAAAATAATGCATTAATACAGCTACTTATGGCTAAGAGATGAGGAACACAATCCAAGTATTAGAAACACACTAATATGCTCTGTACACTACAACAGCTTTTGAAAACCAAGCCCATCCACCTGCCTAAAGGAAGGGATTCAGAGCATGTTAATATATTGACAACATCCACGGAACACTGCAAGTCTAAGCAGAACTGTCTTCCCTCAAGCTGCTGCTCTCATCCCAACCAATTTCATCCTTTCATTTTATTAAACAGACAATTAAACTGATGCTGAATTAACTCCCTTTTCTCTGTACCTGTCAATTCCTGTTGCTCTGAATCTCTAAAAGACTTGCATTAATTTTTTTCCACCTAATTGCAAATTCAGAACATCTTTCCTACATGGCTTCCAGTTCTCATTTTTCTAGGCTGAACTGTACCTGGTTTATCCTAAATTATCCTGGTCTATCCTCTGTCATTTGATAGTCCAAAACTTTAGACTTCACAATAAAAGCTTTTCACTGTCATTAGAGCATTATATACAACCACTACTCTCTTTAATCTCATAGTTCTCACTTAGTCACAGCTCCTTATTAATACTCCATGTACTGTGCATGGGTCAGAGAACTTAAACACAGCCTATAGGATGGGGCCTACATATCCTTCATGCCCTGCTCAACATGAGAGCAAAACATCCCCACTACACCAACACAGCACATTCGTGTCCACGCACATACACATGGGGGTTTGCGAGCGAGGAGGTGGAAAATTACCATCTCTGTGTCCACAGGGAAAGAAAACACATTTCTGCTTCCCACCACCTACTGCAAAATAATAAAACATCTCAGGCTATCAAGACATATTATGAAATTACACCTTGTTAGTTAACAAGAAGCACAGTAAACTCAAGTCAAAAGAAAAAAAAAATAGTGTTTTATTAACTACCACACTGTTATAATACACTTTTAAACGTACAATAAGGTAGCCTTTAAATTTGAGGTGGTTTTAAGAATAACAAATGAACAGATTTCCAAATGTTTGTAAATAGGTGAACTGCAGTAATTATTGTTGTACATTTTTTGAAAATGGTATAGCACTTACAGACTGGCTATATAACTTCATTTTGTACATTTTCTATAATTGAAAATATAAACAGTAATTAAAAAATAAAAAGAAAATTCAGCATAATAAAAAACATATATGTTTATCAGTTAAATGTACTGGATACATACAATTTTTAAGGGAAGAAGCAAAAAAGGAAAGATGGCTGATATTTAAATGCAGATTGACTAACCAAAAACTAAACAACAAACAAACAAAAACCTCATAACCCCCCTAGTTCACTATGACTATATCCATATGTTTGGGAGTACTGTCAATATGGAAGTGAAAGTGATTTTTCTTTTGTATTTGCATATGTTATATTTTACTGGTAATTTACATGATGGCTTTTAAGGCCCTGGCATACAGATGTTTTTTTTGGAAAAAGATTTGATAAAAATCACTGCTGAGACGCAATACACCTTATTTTTGGTCCTCCAATGTTCAAAAGAAGGGATATACTTCACTATAACATCTGCCTTACCACCCAAATGCTTCAACCTATACATATTTATTTTTCTTAACATTTTAAGCTTTTTAAACATTGGTTATATTGCCCACCTTGGTTATTGAAAGAATATTAACAAGACATCATTTTGGCAAATTAAATCTTAAACATGGCTTTTCAATAGGATTTAAAAGGTGACTATCCCTAGAGTTCCATGTTAAAATGTAGTTTGCAAAATCTTACAAGAGTAATGCTTAAAATATTGTACATAGTTAACCTAATTAAAATAATTAGCTTCAAAATGACAAGTTGATGAGCTAAGTAAAGCCTACACTATGTAACATTTGCTTGGAAACTTGATTTGTCAGTTATGCATAATAAAAATTCCAGTCATCAAGAAAATTACAAAATTTCTTTTATCATAATGTGATTTCTTTTCACCCATCAACTTCTTTTATCTTACAATAGATAAATACCAACATGTTCTCATTTTTTTTACACTAAACCACACAGGATTGATGCATTTGGTTAGACTACCATTTCCATCGTTAAATTCTTTTTTTTTTTTTTTTAATATAACTTGGTAAAATTTCTTCTCTTCTAGATTCCAAAAGTACCTACAAAACCCATGCAATTTTACCATTTTAATATACTATGGAATATCATACAAAGTAAGGCATTTCAGTGTCATGTATAACCAAGTTACTGTCAATCCAAAAATTTTTGCACATCAATAAAAAGATATCTAAGAACTTAGGAACAATATTCTTCTCACTACTGTATAAAAATAACCACAATTAATAGGTATCTTGTGTAATATTTACTCCATTGTCTCGTTTCCCGAAACTGTGACAAGCTGTAAAGGTATTTCAGTGTTGGTAAGAATATCCTGATTGCTGGTGCCAGATGTATTAACAGTTCCTATTCCTGAAACAGAACCTTGTTGAATATTTGCAAGGATAAGTGTTGTTCCTCCTGCAGTAATCAAAGTATCATCAGATGTTGCTTCTACTGATGCCAGCACTGTACTGCTAGAGTGAATACCTTTTTTATTCTGATGTGTTTTAATGTGTTTGGCAAGATGGTCACTTCTCATAAAGCGTTTTGAACATTCTGGACAGACAAATTTCTTCTCACCTATCAAAGAAAGAAAAAAAATAATCAAGAACACTAAAAATTAAACTTAATGCTTTTTAGAGTCAGAATTCTAACTAGAATTATACTGAGGAAGAAAGTGATTGAACATGATAAACTTGTGCGTTACATTTCTTGACACCCATACTAATCCCATACAATTTATATAAGAACCGATTTAATTTTCTGTGTGTCACTGAGCTTGGGGAGATCTTTCAGGCATGCTAGAGAATATAGCCATCTCATATGCTCAGGCTGCTAAGTCTCACTGCAATTATTACCAATAAATAACTTCTAGGAGGAGAACAAAACCTACCAAATGATGCACAGAGAAGACCGTATGACCTATAGCAGAATCACACTTGAGACTGACACACAAGATCATAGGGCAATTCAGGTTTGAAAGGACCTCTGAATGTCTGTGTTCTGATCTCTTTCTAAGGAGTCACCTATGAGATCAGATCTGGTTGCTGAGGAATTTATCCAGTTTTCTTGAGAACCTTTAAGGATGGAGACTGCAGGAACTCTAAAGACATCCTCTTCCAGTGCCTGGCTATTCCCACAATTAAAAAGCTTTTATTTATAGCTGTTCTGAACCCTTCTTTTATTTCAACATACATCTGCTGTCTATTATCCTTCAACCAATACACCTTCATCAGGGAAAGTAACTGCCTTCTTAAGGATGGCATTTGCAGGTAGCTAGAGAATTACTACTAAGCCCCCCCTCCCTGCCACTACTGTTCTCTTTGTGCATCTGAATAAGGCAAATGTTCCAGCTTCCTGATCATCTTGGTCACTCATTAGTGAATTCAATCCTGTCATCAGTGTCTTTCTTATACTGGGTGCTGAAAACTAGATGCCATGTTCTAGATGCAGTCTAACCAGAAGAAGGGAATAATCCCTGGGATCAGGGTTCTTGCTTCTGTTGATACAGCAAAAATGATACAGGTATCATTGCTGCTGATCTTTGACCATGTTCCACTTGTCTATCAAGACTCCTGGGTACTTTTCAGAAGAACTGTTTCCAACCTTTCCATGCTTAGCCTGTGTTACCCTAAGTGTTAATTCCATCCCAGGTGCAGTACTTTGTGACTGTTCTTGCTGAATTTCCTAGGATTCCTGTTAACCCATTCCTTCAGCCTCCATCCCTCTGAATAGCAGCCTTGCCATCAAGTGCATTGATTGGTCACCCCAGTTTAGGGTCATCCACAAACCTAAGAAGGTTAACAGAAGAATTCTGTTGATTCCTCCAGGTCAATGATAAAAATCTTCTAAGAGGTCAAAGGATAGATCCCTGCAGTTCTCTACATTTTACTGGTAGGCAGGTACACTAGGATCTATTAACCACATCATCTGAACTGGATCATTCAACTTGCCATTTTTAAAAACCATCAGCCTTTCCGTCCAGACAAACTGTAACCAGCTTGGATTTAGCATCCAAAATGTCTACACAAAAGCACACCATTAAGAACAACATTAATATTTTTCACAGACACCCAAAGACATTTTTCTAAGCAATGTAAATGCTGATAAACACAAAAATTATTTATCTACAGGTTTTTTCCAATACTATGATTTTAAAAGGTAAACATTCTGTTGAATGCAAATGCAAATTCAGTTTGTAAGAAAACAGATAAAACAGACAACAGATTTTAAACTAACTACTCCTTGATAAGGTGGAATATCTACATTAATTTCTTTTCTTTGTACTAGACAGAAGGAGAAATGTGAACCTGAAGTTCCTAATCGGTGGTCTAACCACAAAACTAAAAGGTGTAGAATGATGCACCATCACATGCTCTTCATTGATTATAGGAATGATATCTAACCCCCAGGCCACCTAGTCCTCTTTTGTTCTTATTGAAGTTTTAAGATGGGAAAAGAGTTGTAATCTGGTTCAAACAAATGAAATACATTGTTGAGCCTGAATCAAAGTATTCTGATTAAGCTACATTAAACATCAGCTTAAATGTCAGTTCTGAATCAAGAGGTGTGTGTTTTATCTCCTCAGACCTACCAAAGATTCCCAAGTGTATAAATAAGATTTAACTGATTTTGGAAAAATCACACTGCCTTAAAAGCAATCCAATTCAAAGATCTGTTCTCCTCTTAAAAGTTATTTATCCAAGCTCAGTCCATAGCACTCCTTCAGTTAAATACACCAGAATCAAGGACTGGAAACCTGTGTGCGTTCTTCGGTGCCGCTGGAGCTCATCGCTGCGAGTGAACCTTTTGCCACAGAACATCCAATTACAAACAAAGGGACGCTCTCCAGAATGCCAGCGGAGATGAGCTCTCAAATGTGAGGTCTTCCCATATACTTTGCCACATCCTGGTATGTGACAAATGTGTTGCTTCTTTTTTCCCAAGTTGGAGCCTCTGTTTAAAAAAGGAAAAAAAAAAGAGAGAGAGAGAGAAGTTATTCATTCTAATACATTCCTCCAAAATACTGGTCATATACATACATGGGCTACATATACCACAACAGATCTGCAAACCAACCCAAGAAACTTCATGTTCTTTTCCCAATACAACTGGATTCCAGAACACGTCATAAGGAGCTGGAAATAAATTCTATAATGCTATCCCAGCTCCACAGAAAACGATAAATTCAGCTGTGTGTGAAATGTATGTGATAGAAGCATAATCTTTAAGAAGCATACATGTATATGAAATTGGAAATACAGTTATGACAGCAGTTTGTACCACTTTGATTCTGAAGTGTCCCTATTTTACATTTCCCAGAGTTTCAGGCTTTTACCATATCAAAGATAGTTTTGGCAAAGAAAAACACAAAGTACTGCAACTGCCAAAATGGACACTGGAGATTCTGGCAACGGAGTAGAGAACAGATGGGACTTCTGGCATCTTGGGGAAACCTGAGAATCAGTTTGGGATTTGAAGGCAAGCAGACTAACCTGAATGCTTTCACTAAAGGAGGTGGAAGCTGATCTTGCTGACGTTTAAATGAATTCCTTGGTTTTCCAGTTAAAAAACAGAAATCCATCACAATGAACACAGAATTCACAGATCATATAATCCAGACTAAGCTTGATGCTTATTTTAAGGTGCTGTCTCCCTGAAATGGCAGGTGACCAGGGGAAGCACCTGATACAACGGCCTAATTTTTTTTTTTTAATCAA